ACTAAGCTGTGAGGCTCGAGCCGTCAAGCATGTTCAAGGCAACATGAATTAAAGCAAGATCTGTGACTTCCTTAAATAAACTTCTATCGTGCGAAATAACTGGTTGCATATTTTCTTATTTTTGCAACAGTGTGATTTTCACATGAACAAACAAAACTCACTTCCCAACACTTTGTTTAAAGGCGTTCGACTGTAGCAGTACGATGACCTATATTCACCAAAAAGCTGCCCAACAAGCCTCTGAGAGCAAGCGAGGAAGCCGCGTCAAGCCATTCAAGAGAACTTGCCAGTCATACCACTCAGTACATTCAATAGGGGTAAACTGACCTCAGTGGGGGTAAACCGGTCTAGGAAGGATGTTCTTAAAAATGAGAAGCGTGGCCTAAATGAACGTGACACTAAAAGCCCAATTTGAATGTCGCACTATTTGCTGCCATTGACCAAATGGACTGTTGATGCTTCGGAATGTTAGAGGATTTTCTGGAGACTGGAAGAGAGGGGAACATTCATAGAAAAAAAAAAGATGTCAGGTACGAGAAAATTTGCTCATGCTCATATCTTCAATAACTGTGAGCCACTGTGAGGAAATATGGCTTGGCCTCCTCGAAGGCTTCTGCACTGCAGTCAACGCGAGTTGTGCAATCTACCGCCCAATTGTGTTAAAAAAAACTGCACACTCGTCTCCCCCTCCCTCCTACAAAGTAGGCACCTCAGCCGATTTCTAACTGTTAAAGTGTCATGAACGTTCTCAACAATGTAAAATGATAATTCTGAACTTGCACAATGTGAATCCAAGAAGAATTTATAGGGGCTTCCACTAAGGTCAAGATAAAATTTTATCACTTTAATAAAGCACACATAACGGAGCAAAAGTTTGCAAAGTGAATTGCATGAAGCCACACCCCTTTAGTTAAAATTCACACATGTGAGGCATATTACAGAGGTTAGATGTGCTGCTACTGTTCGACACTTTAACAAATTCAGCTAAGTCAAGAGTGCATGCAACATCTTCATGCGTCAAAAGTGCATGTCAAGAGACATGCTGCCCATGCATATTGCAGGGGCAGCATGTCTAAACTGGAGCTTGTGTCATATTGCAACAAAGTGATGCCTATTACATAATGGGCGTCCAAACTGTGTAAAACATAAAGCGGAAAGCTTCGAAGGCTAATAGTTTTTCTGTTAAAAATGACCAAGAACAATATTTCAGTCTAAATCCAGAAAACAATTACCGTCTATACCAGGGGTCTCAAACACACAGCATACATACTTTTCGCTAGTGGCCCGGCCTGCACATAACAGTGTTTGTCCTGTATTTTTTTTTTAGAAACAAATCGGCTCTCCAGTTGAGGATGATGGACCAACACCAGTCATCAACTATGAGGATTATTTTCACAGAAGACGTTAAAACAGAAACTCCTCTCATCACAGCTAAGTGTTACTAGGCATCAAGCCAGTGTGTTTATAACTTCAGAAGTTATTTTGTACTTCACAAGGAATAAAGATTTGTGACTATGCTACATAGTACTCACATTCACCTGCTGCAATTTAAATCTTTTTGTTTGGGTAAGCTGCACAGACATGACTTCATGAAGCATCCCCTGCGGTAACCATGTGTTGAAACATAACCACGGAGGAAAAGCTCTATACTTCATGATCGTCATACAGATTTTAGCCCTTCTACAGAATAGCAATGACATGTTTCTTGAATTCTCGTGCTATACCCCTTTCAGAAACCACCCATATATGAGAGATAAGAAATACCTTCTTTCAAATGGCAACGGTAGCTGACAATTTGTTTCCCCAGTCTCTATCTTCCTCACTGTCCCGGCCCTTGCAGAAGTAAATTCTAATTTTGAGATGAGGTGAGCCTGAGATCCCTGTTCTACACCAATGGAAGTCGAGAGATGAATAATTCCCAACAAGTGCTGCATATATTATAATGATTATAGACAGACCAAAGTGTAGCTCAGTAGATCTAAATCATCACACTGACCGCAAAAAAATATATATATATATACCTTAACCAGAATCGAACATTTTGAGAATGCACAACTTTCTCCTATTTCATGTCTTTGAGAACAAAGGTCCTGGTCTAAGAAAAAGCCTCAGCTTTGGCACCTTTGGGCATTTACTGTTGTGTTAACGTAACAGTTGGCTCTTTTAGTGCTCATTCAAGTGCTCCTTAAGGACACATTAATAAGAACTTAATCACGCCGTGTTCAGAAATGCATGTCTATATCACTTTTTTGCTCCACTTTTAAATAGTACCTAATATTGTAGGGTTATTCTCGGCTTTAGAGACATGCCGACAAAAAATTAAGAGAGAATTTACAATCAATATTAAAAAGAATTTTACAGAAGCCGACAGAACAGGGCCAAAACCAGGTACAAAACCAGGTTTTAACACAAAGCAGGACTGCTCAACGAAGAAATGTTTGTGTTCAGGTGGTCCAAAGCTGCCACGAGTGACACATATTCGTTGACACATCATTCTAAGACACCCCTGGAGTAAAATTTGTAAACTGTCTTGGACAACGCGGCGTTGCTGTGACCGCATATGAATGAAAAGCCCGGAGCTCTGAAGAAGTGTTCCGAAGTGTAAAAATGAGCAAAAATTGTAATGTTAATTTAGTAGCAAAGGTGTAAAATATCCCCACTATAAACAAGTGATGTCAACCATAGCAACCATCACCAGAGTGCGAAATATGAAAGTTGAATTTGTAAGCATGACTGAATCAAGTCCATAGACGTAGCATTGATAAGGCCATTAGTGTAACGTACACAAACCTAAATCATACTTATGCGAAAAAAGCGTGGCACTTAAGAAGTGTAAACACACCCAGTGCCTGTCAGAGCACTTAGTAAAGATCTGATTCTTTAGTGAAGAGGAAGACTGTTTATGGTATGCCATATATGTTGTGCCCTTCTAGATGAAACCTGGTGATAAATGTAATTATCAAAATATAATTTTTAATAGCCCACCGCTTCATGGCTTGAAGGAGTCCTCCGACACTTTTACAGGTAATTGCAGAATGAATCCATCAAAAGAGCTTGTTGCTTCAATAATTGACTCCAGAAAAAGTTTTTAGAACCCATCAAGTACCAGTGGAGGTACAAGAATTCGTCACACACTTTACACGCTCTTTCCCTTCTTTCGTACCAGCGAGCATACTGAAAGCTAAGCAGGGGGATAGGGATGGTGATGAGGGGGCAAGAAGATACATATGTTCATCCGCATGCATCATGGCCTTCAGCAGACAGACGCTTTCCCTTTTTTCTTTTCTGTTCTAACACAAAAGTGCTGAAATGCGGTCCACCACAGCTCCATGACATATTTCTGTCGCGAATATGACGTGAAATATTTACTAACAAATTGCAGAGAAAAAAACGAAAACCAAGAATGAGAAGTTGCGCATTGGGACGTCGAACCAGAAACCTCACAATCCTCAGCGTGCGGCGCTGACCACTAAGTCACAGAGCAACCTTTCTCCAACATGCAAACAGCTAGACATTCATATACACCGTGTACCGCTGGAAGGTCCCCAGATCTCGGCAACTTCAGTGTTTTTTCGTCATCAGTAGCAAGATGGCAGGATGGGCGTGTGCTAAAGGTCGTCGTGTCGCGCCACCCCACGCGTCGCTGTGCGCAGACGCTTCCACATGGCATGGTTAAAGTGTGCATAGATGTTCTCTAGTGTGATGGCTCACCCGTGCGTGCGCTTATCTCGAGATTGGGGCGCTTTGTACTTCTTGTGCTTCCACCCCGCAAGTTTGCTTTGAAGTTACAGTAGTAAAAGAGAGCATGAATGTCACTTTACTCACTGCTGCGGCCGTGTTTACGAAAGGAGCATGCTGCAAACACACGAAAAAGTAAGAATTGTGACAGTTATTCGCGCTAGTCCTATGTATAATTTCGTGCGTCTTTCTTCCTTTTTGAGCAGCGTGCATTAACTGTCAAGCTGTGACAGTTGTTTTAGTGCGCTCGTCTTGTGTATGCTAATTTCGTGTGTGCTTTCTGCTTGAGGCGTGCGTTACAAGTTTCCAGCTGCTTGCCGTTCTTTGCGTGACCATGCAATTTGTTACTGCAGCATACATTCCTTCACTCTTGTGGCGACACAATGCAGAATGAATGCTCAACTGCCTCTACGAGAACACGCTTCACTTTCGTGTTATACGGATTCCTAAAAAAATTCAACCACGTATTTTTTTTTAACCATACAGCCTACTTTCAGTAAGATCGCTAGCACAGGCATGGGCACGTGACAGCATCCAAATGAGGCTTGTGTAACTGTGCAGCCCACACTGATCATTTATGTGCAGTTATTTTTCTTTATGGCATCATTTGTTCACAGAAAGGAGATAAATTTTTTAGCTGACTTAGAGAATAAATAGTAAATTCCTTACTGTATGCTGCACTGTAATCTTTTACATGAGTGTTTTCAAGAGCCTTGACAACAGTTGGCAGCTTTTTCTGGCCATATTAAAAAAGTGTTGCAGGTCCCTTTTAGTTCTGCTTGACAATTCAACCAATGTGGAAGCGATGCTTCAAATTTTAAACACTAATTACACTTCGCATGTGTACTTCTTTGCATCATTCAGCAATTATGAATCCTCTAAATATCATTTCACGTTAATCATTATGGTCATGAAGGCCTATCTTTACAGACATGACATCAATTTTTTAATTCTGGAATGGTTAAAGGATTGACTGCATTTGAGCCCAAATAAGACATTTTCAGAGCAGCAGATGAAAGCACAGAAGGTTCAAAACCAGGACATACTCACAAAATAAGACATAAGTCACGTTGCCCACTGGTGCTATCCTGAAGCATAACCACATGTGTATGGTAAGATTTTACACTTTCTACGCTAGCTGCATGATTGCTAAGAAAGCACACAACTTGTAGTTTGCATAATGTTGCTAAACCACAGCAGCAAAGAGAACCCAGAAATTTTCTACTGCGTGGTTGCCCTCGATGCAGTTGCATGCAACTGACTGACATGCTTGTACAGCGAGCGGCTGTACATAAAGTGCTCGCCGCAAAAGTTGCACTTGAACCGTGCAATGGAGCCATGCGTCTTGCGGTGGTGGTATAGTCCAGTCACAAAGGCGTAAGTCTTATGGCACACTTCACACTCGTAAGACTGGCGTACCGGTCGATGCCTGTCCATATGGCGCTCCAAAGTCTGTTTGTTGAAGAAGTGCCGTCCACAGATGTCGCATGTTGGCCTTGCTTCAGCTGTGCCTGCAGCAGCAGCAGCAGCGGCACCAACAGCTTGGTCCATGAAAGTGGCCAGTGGCTCGAGGCTGGTGTGACCTGAAAGTTGATATGTCACATTACATAGGCTCTTTTGCCAATAAAATATGTCTCCAGAGAGGGAAGCAAGGAAGCCTGTGTGGCCCAATTTGTACCATTTTTTATGTATTCTTGCATAAGGATCACCATTTACAGACTTCTTCAGAGCAAATATCTTTTAACTAGCACAGATCACACAGGCTCTACTACATCGAACAAACAATTTCTTATAGCCGTAATATCAGCGGTAGGTTTTTTTCATATGCTCTTATTTCTATGACCAAAGCTCCTGAAGACCAGGGCATGTAGCCGATGACATAGCACATTAACAAAATACTTTATCACTAATGTTTTTGCATTGAAAAAGCTGATTTCAAATTGAACATAGCCCAGCATAGCTCTACTTGACAATGAAGTTCGCTTCCCAGTAATGCTCACCATGTCCTGTGTATACAATAGCTTGTCTGTCACGTTGACATAATTGAGAGCTTCAATCACAGATTAACACAGCCGAAGGCTCATTTTTCTGTACAGATACTCTTTCTGCAATTCAGCAACATTAAAAATTGCATTTTTTGATCCACCAAGAATAAGAAGAAAAACTGGGTATTAAATATTAGGGAACTAATGCCAGACTGACAATCAAAGAGTTACACATGGGAATATTGATAACAGTATAGAATGAATATTAGTGGCATCTATAGAACAACTCATGTAATTATCTTGAATATGATCATGTCTTCACACAAAACATATATTTTTGCACTTTTACATTAAAATGCACAACTGCTAATAAAAGTTCTTGAAATGTAAAAACATTTTTAAATATTGAGTTTTCTGGAGGCCTGAACGTTACATATCGAAACTGAGAAATCTGCTGCTTATACTGTGCATATAATTGTTAAGTGGAGACCTTGATTCTCAGCATTTCGCTCATGGTGTCACAAAGTGGGGCTATTAATGGCTTTTGTAGTCTCACAACATCAGAGGTCAGGTGTGCATAACTGCGGGAATCTACAGCACAGCGTAACAAGAAGAAAGATAAGACAATACATACAAAGACCAGTACAAAGAATAGCCATGACTCTGCAATGACCTTCATGCAAATATTTACATTAAAGTGATGTGAAACAGTGGTAGTGTTTTTAGCATGTAAATTATGTTCCTTAAAGCTTAAATATTAAAAATCACTAACAAAACACTGCTCTTGATAACAAATAACAGACCCTGTTAGTGCAAATGTTAATAGAAGTTCTGAAGTTGTAACAACAAAAGGTTAGATTCATTTACACATTAATTGTTAGTATGTGTATATTAGTACAAGGTTATGCAATAACATGGTTATGGTGCCATTGAAAATTTCTGATAGCGCCACTATTTTAAGAATGAGTTAGGTCCCCAGAGGATGTACCTCAAAAAAAAAAAATATTGAGTTATCAGACACCAGAAAATTAGGAGCACTTCAACAGTTAAAAAATACCATTACCTTCCACACAGAGTAACAAGACATACAGCAACATTACTAGCATGGAGAAAGCAACAGGGGCTTGGTTTCCCACACAGAACAGAAATTTGCAGAAAATTTTGGCCACCTGCAGACTGTCAATATAAGACATGTGCAGGGATAACTTGGCAACCACTGCTAAATATCTGAGGGCACTGTGCATCTGCTGCAGCAAATAAAGAACATAATGCAGTGACAGTGTGTTATTCAAATGCAAAGCATGAAGTCAGAACTATGATTTTGGAGCAGTTAAAATGAACGAAAACTTATTTTAAAACATCAACACAATAGTCCTAACAAGAATATTTATTTCTTAGCAGAAACATAACATGGGACAATTATTGGACAATGAATAAATTGTCCTTTGCACTGCTCCCTTTGTCAAGCCAGAAGTGCTTATCCGAAGGTTGTAAGAAGGGGCAGATAATATATGCTAATGCCCACTCTGTGTTTTACTGGCATGCATATTGCTTAAGCTGGCATCCACGCTACTTACAAGAATATACTTTGGCAGAATGGTTTCCACTTTAGTAGGTCCAATGTAAGCTGCTGCATTTAGGACTTTACCTCAAAAAGTAATTTTCACTGGAAGTTGTTGAAGGAATACGCCAGTGCATATATGCGAGTAGTGGAAAGATATAGAAGAACTCTCATGAATCTTCTACTACAGCCTTATAGAGAGTGAATGCGTCGTGGATTTGAAGTGAATCCAGAGTGCACACACCACTGCATGGACATTTAACTGCTACATAAAATTTTTCCCCAAACCACCACCTCTATTTTCTGACAAAAAAAATGGTTACGAGATACAAGAGCACCTACTTTTATAAATCAAAAGAGTGCTTTATTCAGCATTTTTATATCCACATATGTATGGCCAAAAGATTCCCGTACTGGTAGTCAAACAATGCTTCCGTGCATATGTAATAAAGCCACAATATTATCACTGCAGTCAAGACAACAAGAAGAGGGCTAGTAATTGATGTATTGTCACAGTCTTAGGATCAGTACGACAAAAGCAGCAGCTTTGTGCTGATGGAACACAGTGCATCAATTACAGCTCAATTCAAGCCAGAGGTTTAAATGGGGCCCGTTAAACTACACACCAGTGCTTACATCAATTATACTGCAGATTTTACAAAACTTTTACAACAAAACATTCAGTCAGGCAGAGCATACGACACATAAGCTAACAAGCATAAAACAGGCATAAAGTGACTTTTCATGTTAGACGGGAAACAGTCAAAACATATGCATGCAAGGTGCATTCCTCATTCTCAGCACAAGACAGAAAAAAGAGAGTGCAACATGACCATAAAATGCAAAAACAGTCTTATCCTCAACTGCAAGCATAAAAATGCTCAATTAATTTACAGTGGCAAATAAATTTATATATGTTACACAAGTAAATAAGAGTATTTGCTATTAACTTGTAATAAAAGAACAGGTTCGAGCAAAATTTAGTAGAAGCCCAGTACAGAAAAGCTTACGTGGCACAGGAACTGTTCTACAAATATCCAGCCATTGTTTATCTCGTGAAAGTGACTTAAACACAACTATCACAGCCTTTTAGAGGCAGTCACGTAAGCAAGTCTCTACAATTGCCCCACAACACAAAATGCTACAAAGGTCCAAAATAGAAATAAGAACATGCCACATTCTTTAATAATATAGTGAATAGAGTATGTTCAATAAATGATTAACTATATTACAAAGGAATGTTTTTTTTTTTCTTTTTTTAAGATTAACAAAAGACAGTATGCATTTTTACAACGCAAAGCACAGCAATGGTTTACTGCTCAGAAATCAGTGCTGATTCTTCACAACTCGCAGATACTTCTTTTCATACAGTATGATCAAAGTTTGAAAATTCATCCCAAAGCTTTAGTACTGAGATTGTTCAGCTAATTTCAGAAAACAAGAGAACTGAACTTCCCAAATGCAACATCTTGCACAGCTCTTTTATAGCATCAATGGTTTCTCTGATGGGGGCAACCTTTTCAGAATATTGTCATTAAAAACATAAATGCACACCTGTGGCTCCGTAAAATGCTACTAAACACACTGCAGCCCTAAAAATATGGCAACTGTGCACGAAATTATTTCATTCAAATAGCTAGACAAAATAGAAATATTACATCCGTGCACTCAACTAATGCAACACAGCTAACATAAGTCCATAACAAAAAAGTAAAAAGAAAAAGAAATATTCCTTATTTCTTTGCACACCATGCTGAAAACTACCTTTTTTATCAATTCTTCTATGTTTTCTATATCAATGCTGAATATGCCACACAAATCGAGGCTGAATATAACTGCAATGATCATGAAAAATTTGAACTATCAGATACAAAGTTCGCATCTTTTCACAAGCTGTATGCCATAATTAAATACATTTATATAAGATCATGGCAGATGCACTGCACAAAAGTGCAAGCAGTTCTCATGAATTTTAAAGCTTCATGCCTACACTGCGAAATATCTGCGACGTCTTGTGACATGTGGTCTGAAGACAGTTAACATGTCATGTGTTATGTCTCACATTGCACATTTATTTGCATAGATCCAAGCATGCACCACGAAGCCACATCAGTTTTGTGACACAGAAAACGCCGATACTCTTCAACACGGTGCTTTACTAGAGTTGTGCAATGATTAAATGCATTTGCTAATTTAGAAGGTCTATTTGCTTGTAGAGCTTTCTTTAGTTAACATCAATGAACTGCTTAGACTTAAATGAGCATGCCTTAGCTGAATTCCAACAGTATGAAGAAGAGATGGTTCTTCTAGCAGAAATATCAGGTGTCCGTAACAACAAACACACAAAAGCACTGCTAGAATGTTATTCAGTCAATTAGTCCAATAAGCAGGAAAAAGAAAGCTATATTCGAGAGTTTTTTTTTTCCTCCAGAAAATATATCAGGTGCTGCATTCTTGAATGCCATGGGCACTGTTTGAGCATAACCACATCCCTTTGAACTGACTCTGTGCAGCCCTGGACAGACCATAAATTTTAAGGCTTTTTCTCTGAGGCGTTCAATGTTTACCATGTAAACAGCTCCAGTAATATAAGAGTAACATCTCCAAAAGCCCAAATTCCTAAATGCAGAACAATTAAATGCATCGAGTACTCTGCAAGCACATTTATACATCAGCGCTGACAACCAACAAATATAGAAAAAACTAGCAGAACTGTCAATCAACACCTGTATATTTCTTCAATATGCATATTAAATGAAATTCCAACCAACTGAAGCATTCTCAAACATGATAATTTTAACCACTAATGATAACATGCGATCTCTCAAACAAAAAGACCCACAAGCAATACAATTGCAGATGCCAAGTCAGCTAGCAAAAGCACTTTAAGCATTCGCCAATAAGCTAGCATTTATAAACAAAGCTCTAAAGCTCGACATTATAAACCAATTCTTACACAATTAAAGCTGCCTAGAAACACTGTCAAAGCCTGTAAAACAGGTGAAAAAAAAAAGATTGCAAAAAAAAAGCAAACCAT